CAAGCGCTTACTCTACTGAGCCATCTCCCCGGCCCCTTAGCTCAGTTCTTTAAGTGGCTGCTTCAACAAAGCAGTCAGGCTCAGGTTGCTGTGGTTCGATCCCCAGAAAACAAGATAGCCAGCCAGTCATGCCTTGAAGGCATTCGGAGCCAAAAAAAAAAAAAAAAACCAAACAAAAAACTGAAGCAATTTTGATGGCTGATTCAGTAATCTACATTTCAAGGTTTGATTTCTGCAAAAAGTAACAGAAGCATAGTATCTGGTCACTCTTTAAGGGTATATATTGTTAAATTCAGCAAATTTATGTGTTTTTGTTTGCATTTCAGGGCAGGGTCTACAGGGTGTTCAGGTTCTCACTACTAGATCAGACTCATAGCAATCTGCCTGTGCACAGCCTCCCAAGTGCTGGGACCACGGGCATGTGCCACCATGGCAGGCCTGGGGATCAAACCCCTACTCCTGCCTGCAGACACTTTAATCTGCTGAGCTATTTGGCCAGCCCTGTGTTTCTTGATGGCAGGCATGATGTACACAGCAAATAGATAATACAGTCTGCGTGTGAATAAAAAGCCCTGGCCTAATTCAAGATAAGAATATAACCATTTCTTCTCATCCATTACTAACTTATTTAATGACAAACAGGCAATATTACTTCAAGATAACTAAGAAATATAGACCTTAAATGTATGATTTGTTTTAATATATTTGAAAAAAATTAAGTGTTCTTATAAAAACTTGAAATATTTCCTTCAAACATCTTACTTGGATGACGCCACTGGGATTCACACTGATCATGGTACAAATCCCACGAAATGCTGAGTCTTTTTCCTCATTGTCTCTTATGTTTCTCAGGGAAGTACACCTATTGGAATTATAGAAGCGAGTTTAGCACGGAAGTAAAAAAATGGTCTAGTCACAATGCTAGTAGACAGTATTTAATGGAATAAGCACAATATAGGTAACATATGCTAAACAAGTTGTCAGAAAGTTTTACTTTCACTTTCTCATACTCCTTATGTTGGGCCCAACTAATCACAACAGTGGCAAGAGCAAAATTCAATTTTCTTAATAGACTATGAGCAGCTGATTTGATCCTCTCATTTAAACTGAGCTTGAACCAAGAGTTAGCAAATTAATTTTAAAAATTGTATTGACTCATATTCCATTAAACACTACTAAAAATGATTTGAATCAAAAGTTTAATCAATTGAAAGCAGAACACAGAATATACTGCCACAATATACACTATTACTATATAACTTATGGTGTAGATGTTTAACTTTTACATTAACAAGCAAATAAGATATTATATATAACAAATTTAAATGTCTTTAATGCAATCCAAGTTTCCAAATTAATTCTAAAAAAGAAACGTAATGCAAAAACCTAAATTTATAAAAATTGCATGCATCTTAACTTTTCTGGTGGATATTTAAATGCTTTTTATGTATAATCAAGCTTTTTAACACAGCAAGCATGTGACAATCTTATCCCATGCATCAATTAGTCGTTAGCCACAACATAAAATAAATATACATGACGATGCTACTGAAAAATCTCACGAACCTGATAGGACAAGATTAGTCACATGGTTGGCAATGATTAAGGACTGTGATTTTTGTAACCAACTGAAAATATATCTAAAAGTGAGATAGAGAAAGAAAGAGTGAAGAAAAATGAATTAAAAAAAAAGATTGAATAATACACACCAGGGTCTTATAAACTGCTGTAGCATGGGGGCCACCTCTTGAGGACAAACGTAACCAAGACGACCAATTGTTATTGCTAAGGTAACGCAATCACGGTTATACACCACCAAACGCCAACCAAGACATGAGCAAATGAGGGGGAAGGAGAAAAAATAAAGAAAAAACAACAAATAACTCAGAAACAGAAACCAACAGAATTTGTGTATGATAATAAACATAAGATTTCACCAGTGCTGTTTATTACCACCCCCTAAAATAAGGGGCAGCAACATATATGGCATACTCTTGGAAAAAGAAAAACAAAAGGAATTAAAAAAACTCTAAAGATTGAGAGAACACCAAAAACCATGCTGAATTGCTTTTCTCGCTCAATCGTCAAATAATATTCTGCTAATAAAAAGATGAGCGATTACAACAAATGGAGAATCTTCATTTAGAGCCAGTGAAAATTTCAAAATTTAATGTTTATAGTTTTCATTTCAAGAATTACTAATAAATGTGATTATATTTATGAATTGGCTAAACACATTATATATATGTATCTGTAACGATTCAAATATTTTTCATTTTCCTACACCTTTGCTCTTTTTCTTTTTGAGACAGGGTTTCACTATGTAGTTCAGACAGGCCTTGAACTCACTACGTAGCCCAGGCTGGACTTGAACTTACAGTGATCCTTCTGCCTCCTCCTCCCAAAGGCTGGGATTATAGGAGTGCACTACCACATCCAGCAGACCACATCTCCATAAGAGGTTTCATGCTTTGAAAATTATCTAGGGAAATTAATCCAAATTTTGATAGTCAACAATTAAGAATTAACATTTCCCAAACAAACCAGAGGATGTTTCCTGCCTAATTTGAAATCAAACTGTCAGATTTAAGCATTATGGCACGCACTGAACAGATTGGAACATTGCTGTGTCAAATCTCACTCCAACAAACCTCGTAACTCAGATGGTAGTCCACTAATTTCAAACCATATCTGAAATAAAATTCTAATAAAGGAAATTTAGACAGTCCACTTAATGACATGTGGACCACAGGGGAAAATCACTGATCTTTCTTAGAAAAGATAACACAAAGTAGGAATACATCATATTGATTACATGCCAATATTTGATTTAAAAAAATTTTGAAGTGGACAAACATATTCATCATCAAAATTCAAGAACTCCTTAGACTTACAAAGAGCTAAAAACAAGTGTAACTCCGAACTGCATTCTGCAATTCAAAAGTACATACATGTAAATACATTTGTACACGACAGGCAAAAGTACAAACAGAAAACAAACCATGAGGTGCTTTAATGGTGTTCTCTCAAAAACTTACAATTTAACCTTTCATAAAAAAAGGGTGGGGGATAAAGAAAAATGTTTAAGGATTACTTGAAGCAAACTACACAGATACTACTAAAATTCAGCAGATTCATATGAAGCCAGAGAAAGAAAACCTATGTTCAAAGGACACAAACTATGCAACATTCTCATTAACAGGCAAGTATGAACAATCCAATGAAACATGCGATAAAGCAGATGATGGGCCATTGAAAAAGTTCAGTGTAGGATATATTAATTAGGGGAAAAAAGCAAGTAACGATATACTACAAAATTGGCTTTACAAAAAAAAGAACCCCATTTATGGGGGTAAGGAATATTGAAAAGAATATTATATGCAGACACTTGTGGTAAAAGTAATCTAATGAACCCAAGTGCGGTTATCAGTCTGATTCAGTCCATCAATTTGTAGAGCATTCTCAATTACTTTATGACTTAGGTTGAAGTTATACTTGAAGTATAATCTTTATAAATAAAGCCAATCTGCTAAAGAAACTAACAAATTCATCAGCTGATATCCCACAAGAAACTTTAATATACATTACACTCAACATTTATTTGTAGTTATGCATTCACATTTAAAAATAAATAGGAAATTTTCTTTAGGTTCAACAATAATCTTACAATGGCAAGTGTTTCAAATCTGAATGTTATGTATAGGTACTGTGTTCTAAGGAGACAAAAATCTTACAAGATCTCATAACTATTCTACACAGACTTTATACTTTTCAGCAAGAATATATTTACTTTGTGAAGTAAACAGTACCCATACACCTAAACAGCCAGATAATTGTTTCATAATTTAAAAGACTTCCTTCCATACCAATAAACATTATCAATTTTAATCCATTAGGAAAAAATACACAAGTTAAAAATTTAAAATAGCAAATCAAAATGACCTCAAATACAAACTCTTATTTGGAAAACCTCATTTTAATTTTTGTCCAGTATTTTGGCTGGACCCTCACTGCTATGAATAAGTTACTAAAATTATCTTAGTACACAAAGGAAGGAATGTGCTTAAATGAAAACAAAACATTATTAGCAGTATCAGGGAGAATGGAAAGAAAAGATTCAATCATTCCTATACGTGTTCTATAGTATGGAAGGTATTCTTTCATATAAACATGCCCTCTATAAATGCAAAAGAGAAACAAGCCTCTTAAATTTAAAAAAAAAAAAAAATCCTATAAAGAACCATTCAATTCCCTATTAAGGAAAAATTTATGATGGAATACAAAATATATATCATTGTTAAGCAATTTAGTCAATAAACTGCAATCTATTTTTGGGGGGTAGTGGGGGCACCTGAGACTGAACCCAGGGCCTAAACTGTTAACTTGCCCGGCCTAGGTCAGAAACTGTGGTCCTCCTGCCTCAGCATCCAGAGCACTGGGAATTTATAGGCATGGACCATTCTTCAAGACACTAGGTTGCCCATATTTCATAGATTAAGAAAAATCAGTATTTTTCACTTCCCAGTTATTCTCTAAATTAATTTAAAAAGCAAAATTTCTCTTTCAGTGGTTATCTTAGCTGGAATTTACTTTAGTGAGTATTAAAACACGGGAATGTTGAAAACAGGGTTTTCCAAATGTTTATTAAAACTGACTATGGAAGTAGCTAAAATAATGTATTTCACTAGTGAGAACCCAAAACAGATGTTAGTAAGAAGCTGAGTTTTTAAACTAGCTTTGCTTTGGTTTCTCTACGCATCATAATTTCAAATTAAAGACAATTTTCTGATCACCGTAACAGTTCAGACATATGGTACCTGTATTCTCTAACAACGTCTTTGGTGCGTTGGGTCTGTTTATGATTTCTACAAGCTGGTGCAATACCATAGGAATATAAGGCTGCATCTCTATACCTAGAACATTCCACAAAAAAAAACAGAAAACAGGAAAGAAACAATTTAATATCAAAACATAGGCTTAAATATTTTGGTTCCCTTACTCATGTGACATAAATACATATATGAAAACAAAAGCAATTTAAAAAAAACATGAAAATATCAAGACTCTATAATTCTTTGGGGGAACAAAAAAATCTTACCCATTTGAATGGAAATTTCTCCAATTGCCCATGTGGCATTGTTGCAGACTGAAATGAACTCGGGATTTAGATTGGTTCCCAATATAGGCATAAAATCAGCTAGGGAAAAAACAAAGTTAAAACTATGTGGTAAACTTCTCAACAGCAGACTCTATTGCACTTTAAAGAAAACTTCAGCAAACACTGCAACATCAATTACAGGACTATGAAAAATACTATATTAAAAATATCTTTTAAAGGGGTTGGTAATGTTTATCTTATGAAACTGAAGGAGGTAATGTCTGGTCAGGGATGTTTCTTATGAAGTAGGCAAGGAAATGTTAGTTTGGGTATATTTTAGGTATCTTTAGAAGGAATTACTCAGACCAATCTCATCACTGCACTACGAAAATTCAAATTAGAAGTTAGAAAAAATAAGCCATGAGAGGTGGCACATCCTAGACACTGTAACTGCTGGCTGAGCCAGGAAGACTGCAAATTCAAGGGCTTGCCTGGGCAATTTAGCAAGATCCTGTCTCTAAACTACAAAAAATTTAGAAGAGGGAGTAATAACTTAGTGGTACAGCCTTTGCCTAGCCATGTGTGAGGTTCTAGGTTCAATTCCCAGTATTGCAAAAAAGAGAAAGAAAGGATAAAATGTAATTATCCAAAGTTTTTCATACACTGATTTTAGTCTTTTTGTTTTGTTGTTTTACAAGAAATTGAACCCAGAACTGTACTAATGAACTATATATCCCTGGCCCTTTTAAAAAATCTTACTGAGACAGCATCTTAAGTGCCCATTCTAGCCTCAATCTTGTAATCCTTCAACCTCAGTCTCCCAATGTGATTGTGGTTGTTACAGCAACTTCCACTCTAGTGTTCACATTGTGGTCTTCATTATTTTTTTATGTATTTGGTACAGAGTCTCACTACGCAGCTTGGACTTGTACTGATCCTACAGTTTTCAGCCTCCTCAGTTCTGGGATTACAGGTGTGCACCTCCATGCCCAGTCTCTCATGCTCCAGGTGGTGCAGCTCATGGTGCTGGGATCAAGCCCTGGTACCTGTGCTTGTCTAAGCAGGTATTTAGTCTGCTGAGCTCTCTTGCTATTATTATTTTCCATTAAATGGTAAAAAGTGCTCTCAGTGAAATGCCTCATTAAAGAATATGACAGGAAATGTTTAAAATAAGGCTTGCCTGTCTATACTGTTTTTTTTTTTTTTTAAATTTATGTGTGTGTGTGTGTGTGTCCAACTCAGCCCACCAGGGGGCGGGGCTGGCTGGCATGTGGTGCTGGGGGATTGAACCGCGGTCCCTGTGCTTTGCTAAGCTTGTTCTAAGTAGGTGCTTTAGACCACTGAGCCATCTCACCAGCCCCATGTCTATACTGTTTTAACAGAGGAGACAGAGGACTAATCTGATTAAAATGCCACTTTTTTTTTTTTTTAAATGCCGCTCTTGGCAGTAAGATCACTTAAATATCATAAATTCAAATATAAATACAAACTAAACTCTGAAACACAAGAGCAATCTTTGGAGGATGCTGAGAATTGGTAAATAAAGGGAAAGAAGTAATTATCCTACAACTATTTTGTTTTGACCTCAGGTAACAATTTATTGACATGACAAATGTCTCTTACACAATATTCTTACCATTAAATGAAGAATTAGAATTTCAGATATTTTTACCTCCTAATAAACTGGTGAATTGCTATGGTTTGACCCCATGTGAAAAATTTAATGACTACTATGGTACCATTAAGAAATGCATTAGATTAGGGCTCTGAAAGGATGCAATATAGGTTATTCCCCCTAGCACTACAGGATATTAAACATCACTGTTTCTACGCACTGAACACAGTGCCTCCTTAGTGTTTAAAAAAAAAAAAAAAAAAAAAAAATCGAGATGCCAAGGAACATGATTAAAGGACATTAGAGATGCAATCAGTAAAATCCACTAAGAAACTCTAGACCAAAACTGGGTTGATGTAACAAAACTGTGAGAATGATTTTGGGATATGTACTAAAATATTACAAGTTCAACAATAACTGGAAACTTCATATCTACTGCTACTGGTATATGAGAAACATGATTTATAATGTGTACTGAAAACAGGGCCAGCCAAATAGCTCAGTGGATTAAAGTGCCTGCAAGCAGGTGCAGGGGCCAGAGGTTCGATCCCTGGGCCTGCCGTGTTGGCCCCACCCTAGGAGTGTGCTGAGATGGTCATTGAGACTGGGCACGGTGGTGTGCGCCTGTAATCCCAGCTCTTGGGAGGCTGTAAACAGGAGAATCACTGAGTCTGATCTAGTAGTGAGACCCTGAACAACCTGTACACCCTTCCCTAAAAAAATACAAAAAACAAAACCCCACTTCATTAATATGTATTGAAAACAAACAGTGAAAGCAGGAAAATGGAGATGTTGAGTTTTTCTCTGTTTTTATAAGTCTTAACATTTTTTGTAGAATAAAATGTTTAAAATTTTAAATTTTTATCATTTCTTGGCCTTCTGGCTAAGATCAAGTGTAAAATTTTAAATCTTTTCATATAAATTCAATAAATCAAAAATATTAAGTTGGGAGCCCTGGAGATACAGGATTATAATCCCAACTACTTCCAAAGATGGAGCAGGAGAATCTGAAACGTTTGAGGTCAGCCTAGACAACTCAGTGAATTCTCATTTAGAAAAAAAAAAAAAAAAAAAGAGGCTGGCCAGATAGCTCAGTGGACTAAAGTGCCTGCTTAAGCGTAGTGCAGCAGTTGGGGTTTGATCCCCAGTGTGCCATGTGGGGCGGGGTGCACTTCTGATCTGTGTAGTGAGACCCTGTGCTAAATACATATATATTTTAAAAAGAAAGAAAAAAAGCTGGAGATGTACATACCTCCATGATTGAACACTTGCCTAGCATGTCCCAAAATCTAAATCCAACCACCAATATTGTGAAAAAATTCCCTTCAAACAAACAAACACAAACGAAAAAAACCAAACAAACCCAGATACAATTTCATGACAATTATTTTTGTCACCAAGTTCCCACAAATTCATTTTATTTTCACAGCACTTAAGACTTAGAATATAATGGTTTAATATATCATGCTATTGCTCCAAGTTTGGAAATAATTTATTCTAAAGCACAACTGTGTCAAATGAAAATAATTTATGTTTTAAATCAAAACATAAATAACTGCCACCAAACATGTTGCGGTACAGGAAGGAAAATCCCCCCAAATCATTTGGCCTATACGTTTGAAAGCATTTGAGTTATGATATTCAAGTAATAACTCTTTATTTTCACCTAAGGCAAGAACATACACTATGCTATTAGAACAGAGAACTATCACTTATTTTAAAAGTGATATTTGAAGTTTTCTATGGTACCTGAAAAGTATGCTAGTATGAGAAGAAAACCTGATTATAGCGGTATCTGGGTTCACAAATAATTTATTCCACAATTCTGGAAAAGATGGCCAAGTTTGCCTCCCACAAATCTATGTGGGAAAGAGCAGCAGCTGTGTCACCTGATTTGGAGTTTGCAACAAAAACAAAATTTTGTCAAACACTTCTGAATGAAATTATTTGCAAACCAAAGCATTCATGAACTGAGGCACCACTGTATTAGTATTTTGGGGTACCCTTACCAAACATGGACCTCTACTAAAAAGAATGCTACTCATAAAAGTGTTTACTAGCACATAATATATCCAGGCTTCACTGGTGGGCATGTCCTATTCTCCAAGGTGATACCATTCAAATTTGCTCCAGCCATAGGCATACCTAAAGGGCACTGAAGTAATGGCAAGCTCAATAAACAATAGGGATTTCCCACATTTTGCCTGCTTTTAATCAGAGCATGTTAACTTTAACTAGCCATAAAATATAAATTCTGAGACTCTGTGAAATTTATTTTTTTGTACATTTTATTT